AGTGTGATTTGTTTACAAGAGAGGCATCCTATTTATAATTTAACTTGATGAGAATGTTTTACTTTCTAATCAATGTTGAACTAACTAACATGTACATTCTGTATATATGTATATACATTAACACTCGTAAAATTAGATTCATGTGTAGATAACAAATAAATGTAAAACTTGATGAAAAGAAAGCACAACCTAATGAAAACATGTGACTAGTATTGAGAGAAGTGAAAAGTTCTATGAACGAAATAAGAAAATTTTAGAAAGAAAAGAATATCTTCAAATCGATTATCAAATCAAAAAAATGGAACGAGTATTCTATGTTGCTGATGCTAGGGTGTACAAATATCTCAACAATACAATACCACACCGAAATAAAAACATTCTATTGACTAGAATTTGGCCCCTATTTGACAATCATTATCTGAAAATTATTTTTTTTATATACTTAATATTTATATAATAAAATTATGTTGCCTACATTTTAAGTACACATTCTTTTAAAATCAGTATTCAAACCTTGTTTTGGTCAAATAATGGTCATCAAACGGATTAAGTACAATAACGGCTCAAGTTGGTCCAATCATAGGCGAACATGACACCTCCCACCTCAGCCAATGGAGTTAATTGTTCCAATGCTTATTGAATTTATGTCTACGTCTTCAATTGCTCATTGAGATGTCAAATTTTGATCACTAAACTTTGAAAAATATCAGACGTTACTCATTAATATAATTTTCATTTAAAATCTCTAACGGAATTAATGACGTGGTCGACTAAATGTACACGTGGCGTCCAGTTACATCATTACACTTTGATATAGTCCAATTTTGGTCACTAAACTTTGGAAAATTTCTCCGTTTGCTCACTGAATTTTGAAAAAATATTCTACTGCTCATTGAACTTTAAAGTGGTCGAATTTTGGTCACTAAACTTTGAGATATTTGAATTTTGGCTACTAAACTTTGAGATAGTCGAATTTTGGTTACCAAACTTTAAAACAGCTCTCGATTGCTTACTAAAGTTTGAAAAACATCTTCTATTGCTTACTAAACTTTGAGATGATCGAATTTTGACTACTAAATTTTAAAAAAAGTCTTCTATTACTCACAATAAAATTTGGATTTAATTAAAATTTGTTGTTAAATTTTGGATTAAAATATAATCCTAATTTAATTCTAAAAACAAATTTAGTCCATGTTTGTTAGGAATTAAAATCTAGATTTTTATCAAACTCAAATTCAACAATTAATTTTAACCACATATTTATGGGACCCACAACTTTTCAACAACATATTTCATCAACGTTTATCAAAATATGCTAAAAATCTAATTTTAATCCCGACCAAACAGAGACTTATTGTGTATTTCATTGTAAAATTCAAATATTAAAAGTAAAATTTAATTTAATTTAATAACAAATTTATTGTGTATTTCATTGCAATTAGTAGTCACTTCCTTTGCACAGCTTTGCAAGCGTTATCTATCATAATATTTGAATCTTGCAACGAAATATATAATAAATTTGTTATTAAAATTAAATTATATCTGAATTTTAATATTTGAATTTACAATGAAATACACAATAGTTAGAATTAAATTAAATTCAAATTTTAATCTAAATTTTAACAACAAATTTAAATTAAATCCAAACTTATATTTTGAATAGAAGACCTTTTTTTTCAAATTCTAGTGGTCAAAATTCAACCATCTCAAAGTTTAGTGGTCAAAATTCAATCACCTCAAAATTCAGTGAATAATGGAAGATGTTTTTCAAAATTAAATAAGCAATTAAAGACTTTTCCAAAGTCTAGTAGTCAAAATTAGATCATCTCAAAGTTTAATGGCGTGATGTGGCGTCATGTTTACATTCTATCAACCATGCCACCAATTTGTTCAAAATTTTAAACAGAAGTTATATTAGTGAGTAACGTCCAATATTTTTAAAGTTCAATGGCCAAAACTCGATATTTCAAACTTCAATGAGCAATTGAAGACACATAAGTTCAGTGACCATTGGAACAATTAACTCTAACCAATGTAAAAAGGAATTGCTCCATTGGTCCTCAATTCACACAGTCATAATTTCCATCCCTAAGGTACGTTTCTTGGTAGTACGGTCCCCAGCCTATTTATTCTGGTGTGTTGGTGTTCTTATTCCGTCCATTTGACTAGCCAACAATTGCCTAAAATCCCAACCTTGCAGCTTACACCACCATTTGGAGGGAATAAATTAACCGCCTACTCGACTAACCGAATCATCTCGGGACGATTGAATCAGTTTTCACAAGTCAGTCAATTTGAGTTGGGTTATTACGATTCGTTTCAATCATGAGCTAGCGCACAAAAAAAAAGAAGTAAGAAAACCGCTTTCCAGTAGACGAGTCGACTGTAGAATCGATCCTACTCAAGGTCAATCACAGTGATTTTTTTTAAAATAATTTAATTCTAAAATGACAATAGGCACAAAAATCATTTAAATTATTGCCCGGAGCATGAAGTTACTATCTTCCAATAATAACGATGAAAAAAAGAAAATAACGTGTCTCTTCCAATAATATTGAAACAGTAAAAAACTCATTTTGTATAACTTGAGTTTCGAAAACTATAAATCAAATATACACCATAACAATTAACGGGATTAGGGACAAAATAAAAACATATT